TTGTCTGTTGTCTCGAGTAGTTCCTCTGTGTTCTTCAACAGTTCCTCGTGTTCGTCGCCCTCTTCTCCAGAAACTTTTTGGTCTTTTCACGATTCTTTTTTTTTTGTGTTTGTCTGTTTTTGGTTTCGTCGTCAGCTTCTTCTCATACTCTTGTATCTTGATCTTGTCCTCCTGCTGTAGTGAGATGAGTTTCTCTCTCTGGTTCTTCAGATCTTTCTTCTGCTCCGTCAGTGTTGTAATCAACTGTTGCACATGTTCCAACTCTCCCTCATTCTTCTCGAACTCCTCATCAAGTTTTGCCTTTGTCTTGTTCAAATACTTCATTTTCTCACTTTCTGTCATGAGATGCTCTTTCTCCCTCCATCAGAAGCTGAAGTTCTGTGCTGTTGCCAAATGTTGTGATCCAAGTCTTTTTTTCTCCAACTACAGTCTCACCCTCATGGTGCCACTTGGTTTCTATGTGAATAAAAAAGTTGTGTGTTTAGTTTAAAGTTCAAACCTGTTTTATTGATGCTGTGTTTCCCTTTGATAATAAATTGTTTAAAGGGGACGTAACAGAGAAGCACATTAGAAATGTGATGGCATTTAAGGTATAGCTACAAAACCACACATTTGCTTAATTTGGCAGAATTATGAAGCATTTCATTCTCAAAAAAAAAGAAAATGGGGGATAAAGTCAAATAAGCAACAGTGAGGCTTAGCTAAAGAGATGTTAAAGCAACTTGAGGTTTGAAAAGAAATGTGACTTACTGATTTTGTTTTGTCCCCATTTCCACAAAATAAAGACAACTGCAACAACAGACATGATGCACACAGCCAAGCAGATGGTGATCCGAACAGCAAAACTAGACTGGACCATGAAGAGTTCAGCTGTAATTATAAAAGATATGTTTATAAAACTCGATTTCATTTGTCTGTAACTGACAAAGTGATGGCCTCAAAAACATTTTTCCTACCTGGAACCCGGATGTGAGTGTCTCTGATCTGGTTGATGTCCTTCTGTTGGACTCTACAGGTGAAGCTGTTGTTGTGTCTCTTCTCCACAGTCACTCTGCTGCTGACAGTATAGAGGTCATCAGGACCTCTGACTGTCTCTGTAGGTCCAGCAGAGAGGAGGTTTCCCTCACCGTCCAGCCAAAACGCCTCAGGCTCTGGATAGCAGCCTTTAGATTTACAGTCTAACATCACTCCTTTGCTGACTGTAGAAATGTTTATTTCAGGGGATGATACTGAACCTAACAGAGAGCAGAAATGTTGTTTTAATGTAAAGTTGCCACAAGAATGAAAATGCAGAACTTCTTCAGTGAGCCTGATGATTCAAGTTAGACACTAGCTCAAGTTCAAGTGTCCATTAGATCAATCCAAAAGTCCCTCTATCCATTCCCCTCGGCCCAAATACTAAGGACCTTTGGCTGTCTCTCCCAGTCCAGCAGAGAGGAGGTTTCCCTCACCGACCTGCCAAAACACCTCAAGCTTTGATCAGATGCGTTACCATGCTACCAAAACATTTTTCACATTCACGTGCTTTAATTTTCACTCCCTTATGCAGAGAAATGTTGCAGTATAAAGCCTGGCTGCTATTAAGAGAGCTGCAACACTCTCAGACTGAAGTGGACAAAACACAGTACAGTGGAGAAAAAGATACCGATTACACACATCCTGAGCCGATCTCATAAATCGGTATCGAGGATCAGCCCCAATAATGATCTATAAATAAATGTTAAAATTAACACTTATTAACACTTGCGACTTACCAAAGAACAGCTCCACAGTTGAGTCTCTGTTCAATATGGGAACAAAGCACCTGTATGTTCCCCTGTCAGACAGCTTGACTTTGGAGAGTTTCAGTGAAATGTCTCCGTCCTGCAGTTTCTTGTTGAACAGCGATGTTCTTCCTCTGTAGGATGGATGCTGGTCATCTAGAAGTTCTTGACCAGAACGTTTCACGTGGACAAATCTGGGTTTCAGGTCAGGTCTCGACCACTCCACAGCTGTGGAGGCAACGTCCATAGCAGGTTCCAGGTGACATGGCAAAATGATGTCATCACCAACGACTGCCAGGATTGGCTGACGTGGAGCAATTACTTGAGACTGACCTGGGAAGAAGTGGCATTATTTTATACTGGCAGTAAGAGCTAAAGAAATTCACTTCTTTAAGGCTCAGTGTCGATTGCGTCGTTTACACTGGCTACACCATGACAGCAGCCTCAGAAAGATCTCAGAAAGACCCTGGATCTAATTATCTATCATGCATTAAAGCCTCTTGAAAATAAAATGATATTGTTTAGTCCTCTGTCCAATCAGCAGCTTTACTCCACACTAAAATTACTCAGCATGCCTATATGTAGAGTAAGAATGAGAGGAGAGAGAGAGAGAGGAAGCACAATTATCAAGTGAAAATGTTGGGCTGAGCTAAGCCCCCAGTGTTTCAGGATCCTAACACCACCCCCGGCAGTTCTCAGTCCCTAAAGTAATTAAATATGTAAGTTGGAAGGAAACAGAATTTAAGCATAAAAATATGCTACTACATAGTGATCAATGCGATCTGCCAAATGAAACACAAAGGACGGTTCAGCTGCATTGTATACAGTCATTCATGCAAAGTAACAACTAAAAGAAGAAGCACTGGCTCTCTGTCATCATAAAACAGAGTTTTGTGTACTCTCGGTTTATATGTGTTCAGTGTTTCCCCCAAAAAAGTGGAGACAACACCAACCCTTAGTTTGATTGAAGACTGTTTCAAACACACAATGAGTGAATATGTAAGTTACCTTTACAGCAGTGTGTTAGCAGAAGCAGTGCCATAGTGTGATGGAAAACCAAAACATTGAAGGTACAGAGTCGCGGTTTTGGGGAGCATCCATCCTTCAGACGAAACATCCTGGAGTTCTGAAAATCATACCACTTACCAGCTTGTTAAAATTACTTTCCAGGATGATCATGAAACATGTTCGTATGAATCAGCTGAAAGCTTTTTGTAGCTTTTGCAGCAGCAGCCCTGCTTGTAATACTTCAATCAATGTAAACACAATAAATGCTGATGACTTCACTGTAAAAAGGTATTTTTCATTGTCAGTCTGCTGTAGCTCTCTTAAAATCTAATTTCGCCTTATAAATCTGAAAAATTTATGTAAAATATTCACGACTTTATAACATGATTTCACAGCAGTTTAACAATGATGTACTGAGGTGTCAAATCTCCTTATCCAGCTGGCCAAATAATATAGTAAAAGAAAACATGAGGCAAGTACCTGTTTTACATGTTGCAACTCTTCCTCTTTCTTCTGTAACTTCTCATCAACTTTTGCCTTTGTCTTGTCCAAATACTTCATTTTCTCACTATCTGTTTGGAGCAGCTTGACGTCTCTTTCTCCCTCCATCAGAAGCTGAAGTTCTGTGGTGTTGCCAAATCTTTTGACCCTTGTCATTCTTTCTCCCACTTCAGTGTCTATAGGAATGTAAGGGTGTGTGTTTAGTTTAAAGACACGCTTTAGTTTTTAACCTTTTGTCTATGCACCGTTTCCCCTTTGCTGAGAAAGGATTTTAAGGGGACATGGCAGAGAAACACAGCAGAAAGGTGATAGCATTTAAAGAATAGCAAAAGACACGTTTGAATTGTGAAGCATTTTCATTCTCAATCTCCAGGAAAAAAAGGCCTAAAATAACAAACCCAAAAGAATCAGGAATAACTCCTCTACCATTAGGCCTATATGCATGCTATGTCGTTTGATAGGGCAGGAGCTAAGAAAACATATGTATGTTAAGTAAATGGAGTAAATGGAGATGAAATAAAGAAAATTCCTTCCTGTTTAGCGTGATGTTACTAAGCAACACAAATGACAACAGCCTGAGGATCAAGATTTTATTATGTTTAACAGAAAAATGACTAATTACAGAGACATGTGCCATCCTGCTTATGCCATGGCCACTCGCATGGCATAAGCAGTATAATAACCGACAAGTTGTATGTGCTAAGATTGCAAAGGTCACGTCAGATCATTCCTCTTGGCCCTTCACTCTAAACATAATAAATAATAATTCAATGTAAAAATGGAAGATGTGAAAGTAACTTGAGGTGTCACAAACCCCCGGTCGTGACCCTGGCCTGCCTGTTGCCCTGAGACTGCTGGTGGGCGTGGTTTCTGAGCTCCAGACTTTCCCACCTGAAGCACATCTGCAATCAGCACACCAGGGCCTCTGCCAGCAATCAACACGCCTTTAAAGGATCTGCCAACCTTCCAGTCCCCGCCGGATCGTTGTACTTCATCCGTATGGACACGCCAGCCAGTTTGTCAACCTTAGTTTCAGTACGTTGTCTGAACCTTTGCACCATTGTTAATGGCTCTCTCTCTTTGTCTCGCCTCCAGAAGCCAGGACCTGCGCCACGCGGATTCCCTCCTATGCCACGGAGTCATCTAGACTCTGGGACCAGAGCTGCAGACCCACAGAGCGACCACCACACCCAAACCTCTCCCAGGACTCCCCTAGAGCTCAATAAACCACTTTCAGTGCATTCTCTAGTCTGCGTTTGAGTTTCTGGCCCCCGGCCGTGACATGAGGTTTGGAAAGAAGTATGATAAAGTTTCGACTTACTGATTTTATTTTGTCCCCATTTCCACAAAACAAAGACAACTTCAATAATGGACATGATGCACGCAGACAGGCAGATGGTGATATGAAGAGCAGATCTTGACTTGACCATGAAGAGATCAGCTGAAATGAAATGAAAAAACACAACAGATGAGTTTATAAAACTTGACTTCAACTGTCTGTAACTGACAAAGTGAAGACACTAATAACTCATAAGTAATTGTCTAACCTGGAATATAAATGTTAGTGTCTCTGATCTGGTTGATGTCCTTCTGTTGGACTCTACAGGTGAAGCTGTTGCTGTGTCTCTTCTCCACAGTCACTCTGCTGCTGACAGTATAGAGGTCATCAGGACCTCTGACTGTCTCTGTAGGTCCAGCAGAGAGGAGGTTTCCCTCACCGTCCAGCCAAAACACCTCAGGCTCTGGATACCAGCCTGCAGACTCACACTGTAACACCACTCCATTACAGACTGTAGAAATGTCTGTTTCAGGTGATGGTGCAGAACCTAATAGGGAGCAGAAATGTCAAAAGTTCTTTGAATGTAAAGTTGACAGACGAAAAAAGGAAATAGAGCAGTTCTTCAAAGAGCCTGATGAGTTCAACTTAAACACTGAACCTATTATACACCTTAACGACCGAAAGTACTTTCGTTAGTGAGGATAAATCACCCGCTTCAACACACTGGTTTACTTGGGTTGTGAAACCCATTTCTCTGTAACAACTCTGTAAAAACAAGATAACATGTAAAGTAGATGACCTGATGATTCTTTTCAATACACACAGCAGTCTTACGTTGATGAATGCAACTTGCGTGAGTGAAGTACTTGCCAAATACTATCTTGAAAATCTGTTTCATGACCCTTGTAAACCCCTGATGTCAACAGGGCCACTATGTACAAAAACAAATACAATATATATATATATATATATAACAATTAAAAGAAGCTGTTCAATTTTGTCTCTCACCTTTGTTTTTGAATATGTCCCTACAAAAAAGATTGTAAGGCGACAGCTCTCTGACATGAACTTTTGCCTTTGATTGACGGGGTTCAGACAAAGGTTTTGAAATTTGTGATCTTTTGTAATTACCGATCCAGTTCTGAAAAACAAAAACAAAAAATAACGATAGAGTATTACACCAATTAAACAGTATTTTAACAAAATACTTCATTTTTAGAAGCAGTGCAGCAGAATGATATATTTATTTGACATGTTGTTTGTTAGTGTGGCACTAAAGTAAAACTTACTTCTATGACACTGGTGTCCAAACCAGTAGCAGATGCAGCACTTGGAATTAATTTTGACCCAACTCGTGTCATTCCATGCGTAAAAAAGGATTTCAGGGTTTCCTTTTGATTCCCATTAATGGGAGTTCTCTCTTGTTGAATAACAACAAAGAAAGAAAAATCTAGTCAGTTATAAATCAGTAATAAAAAAAGACAGTGTTGCAGATCATACCATCGTTCTCAGACACACTTGCCTAATGCTTCTAGATTAGCAACTGCAAGGCTTACCTCTCTGGGCCATCTTCAACCTAAAACATAAACAGAAAAACTTGCACAAGACAGATTTGTGAACGGGCCCTTCTCTCTAAAAAGGCCAAAACCAAATTTTAGATTGTTCAACAAAGAGATAGAGCATGGAAGTAATAAAACAAACTTAGCCTACCACAGAAGTCCTTCAATCCACTGGAAATTGATGCTGTGGGAGACAAAAAAGTTAGGTAAAGATATATTAATGTTACACACACAGGATGGCAGATAGATAAATAGACTTTTTTTTCAAGTTCAATGTCAAGGACAGCAATAAATGTGACACACACAGACACCACAGTCTATATTTACTTCTAATAGATTCCTAATATTCGTCTTTTGCATGAATGTCATTGTAAGCTACCTCGTGTGGGATCAAATCCATCCAAGCTTTTTTCAAACCCACAAAACTTTATTTTACATTCTAGTCAAGATCCCAAGATACCCAAACAGCCATAAAATACGTCATGGGTTTAATATTTCACTCATAAGTCAACAGGAGTAAGGTTAGGCCTATGATGGGCGTTAACGAGCATACAATATTATGCAATAAGCCTTACAGTGTGGAAAAAAAAAATTTTACAGGCTAACTTTGCGTTTAACTAGAAACTAAATTTCCCCATTAGCTTCATACGTAAAAACATGCTTATTAGCAACGTTAATGCTCAAATAAAGCAAGTAAGTAACGTAATGAGCCTATATAACGTTTACAAAATAATCGCAATACGCTTATCTCATGTCAACACTCATGTCACGCAACATTAAAACACATTTATGTATTGTTTTCCCTTATTGACTAATTAATTTCCGTTAAAATGCTCGGTTTTATCATTTAAATGTTCTTACCTGAAAATATCAAGCGCGAAATATTGCAACGTTGCTGCGTCATTCAGTAGACCTCCGATTACCGGCGAGCTGGATTCCTCTGGTATTGGATCTGGAGTCTTCTCTTGTATTTGTCGGTGATTAACCATGTGGATGGATGATAACAGCCTTCTGAGCCTACCAGTAGGCGCAGCAGGCCCCTACTGGCCCATATATATGAGCTGATAACCACTGATAACGCCCATTCAATCGAGTGATAACATTCGAAGCAGGTGGATAAATGTCCATATTTGATAAAAAGGTTTAAAACCGTGACGTTTATACTAATAAAGACAATTCAATGTCTTATTTCTTATTTCAAAGACTACATGTTACACTCAAAATACACAGAAGATCTGGTGGACTTATCAAATGTAAGAAGAAAACGTGGGTTGTGAAATTGATTGTAGGCCCATAGTGGATGTTGTGGTAGCACTTTATAATATAAAGCATTGCTATAATATGATGAATAAATGATGAATTAAAATGTAATAATACTTAACAACTGCTTCATAGCGTGTAGATATTAAAGAATAAAACATTTATAACTGTGTTTATAAATGACTTACTAATGTGTATTAATGTATGAACAATGCTTTATAAATGATGAATTCCATATTTACTAATACTTAACTAATGCTTTATAGTGTGTAGTTATTATAAAGTGCTACCGATGTTGTTTTTGTAGTTGTGCGGTATCACATGACCAGTACATAACAGTATTTTTTTTATTATTATATTTAAACTCAAACCAAGGGCTTTTACCATCTTTTTGGGAGTCATTTACCTCCACAAGAGTGTGTCAGGAGAATGAGGACGGCAGCATGATGCAAGACCATTGAACTCAAGTTATTGACCTCATGTTTGAAGGGGAGTCTGGCTTTATATGAATCATCCTGGAGTTCTGTAAATAAAATATATGCAAGGTGAGCTAGCTGGGAGTCTATTATAATGAAAGTCAGTGTAAATGCTTTTTTAATACTCTAAAGCTTTGTGAAATAATGTTTTTTTAGTAACTTCTATTAGTAACTTAAACTAATTAATACAGTCAAACAAAGCAGTTACGATAAGAGCAAAGATAGGACATGTGAAATATGTGGAAACACAAACTAAACTGAATTATATTATATAAATAAATAATATAAAAAATAAATTGTGGGGAAAAAAAACTTCAAAGATTTTCCACTTATTCCAAATTATCTTTTTCCCCATATACATTATGGCTCAGTTTATTAAACCACTCGTTTACCTTTTTTAAAATCACTTCTGGTATTCAAAATGCAATGCTTTGTCTATAACGTTTACAAAATGTAACAACAGACTTCAACGTCATTTTACGTGTTAAGCAACTGGCTGGTGCTCCAAAACTCACGGGTGTATGAAAAAATATTGCAGATGAAGACTGCAGTTTCACTTTCAATCTAGAGACAGGATATAAATAATTACAATAATGACATGTTAAAAAGTGAAATCCCTAAAATAATCTATTAAACATAAGTATACATACCTGTTGTGTATCTGTGTTAATGAGTCGCCTCACCTCAGGGGGAAAAAAGGCTGTCCGGTCCAGAATGAGACAGCGTGAAATAAAACCATGTGTTCTTTCACCCCAGCCCTCTATAATTGTCAGGACATGGCAGGATGATTTTAACTGATGCATTCACGGGAAACAAGGTAGTCCAACAAAAGCCTGAAATCTGAAAAGAGGAATATAACATCCAAAATCCAAAACAGTAAAACAAACAATCCTCCAGGCAGGTGAAAATGAAATAATCCAGGAAAAACGTAGACAGCGAACAGATGGGCAGAGCTACTGACAGACGAGAAGAACTGGTAAATGCAGAATAGGAATGATAAGATTGCATACTGACACACACACACACACACACACAGCAAGAAGGGCATGCTGTCAAGGATTAAACAAACCAGAAAGCTATACAAAGACAGGCAGGGAGGTAACAAGACACGAAAAAAAACATCTGACAGATGATTTCAAAATAAACCAGGCAAACAGACAAGCTGCGGACTTACCATCAGGAGTACCGTGAGATATCCTGGTGGGACCCTGGACAATTGGCCCAATAAACCACATAGTATTAAACTGCAGTTTAATAACTGATTGGTATGTGCCTTGTGTCACGGCTGGTGACAGGACTCAGATGCAGACCGGAGTGAGGTGTTCAAACAAAGGGAATATTTATTAGTTTTGATAGTTTTGCACAAACACAACGTGGGATTGGGGTTGATTGGGATTGGGGTTGATTGGGATTGGGATGATTTACAAATGGGCCAGTGAGGAGAGTTCGGGTTCCGGTGCTCTGGTAGCAGGCAGAACTGAGTCTGGGCTCTGGGCTGATTGTTTGAGGTAGTGACAGAGAGAGGGAATTATCCAGAGCATGAGGGCAGAGCCCTGCGATGGACTGGCGACCTGTCCAGGGTGTACCCCACCTTTCGCTCAATGTCAGCTGGGATTGGCTCCAGCCCCCCACGACCCTGTACGCAGGATAAGCGGCTGACAATGGATGGATGGATGAGGGGAGAGCAGAACACAGAGACAGACACCAACCTGAACACACCTATCATTCAGCACACAAAAAGGACTAGAGAAGACACAAAAACACGTTCCCACACATCGTCAAACTATACACTTACTCAAGTATTTTTGGGCCAGTAAAACTACATTAAACTTTGTTACATTTGCCCTTTATACCTTCATTACTTTACAAGTCTGTTATCTACTGTGCATTTTGCTTCATTAACTGATTTGAAAGTGTATTTAGTCTCTGCAGTATAAATGCAGTTTATACACTGTAACATCTAAGTTAGAAGATTGTTGATTAACAGAATCATCTCCTTGCACAGAGCAAGGCTTTCTGATGGGAACCTGTTTATTTTGTTTTCTCTTCTCTAGTTCACATTGGTTGGTATTTGTTTTAACAATGTCAAACGTTTAATAATTTATCCGAATGTCACCGGGGAAACTGATCTTGGCTTTCACTCAGCATACTATTATTATTTATTCAGGAAACAATATGTTTTGAGATGCATATATAGGGAAAGAGCAAATAAGGGTGGACACAACAGTCCTCTCGGACTTTAAGCGCACAGGTCTCCCTTTATTCATTTGTATGCTCATTCAACAACGAGCTGCTGTCGTGTTCTTGCTACAATAATTCAGTACTTTGTTAAGATCATGTGTATAGATGCTTCAGGAATAATCATTTTGTATTGGGTGCCTGAGCTATTGGGAGAAGGCAAATCATATGCAGCACCCTTCATATCAAAGCAAGTGGTTTGGTTTGCTACATGTTCCTTCTGAAAGCAAGTGCCTAGCCTATTTACTATTAAGTAAGTGATCTTACCTTCATCTAGACTGAAAAAAATTGTCTTAAACAGAAATAGCTTAATTAGAGAAAATAAACAAGCAAAGCAAAGTGCACTCTGCACAGCAGATGGAAAACTTAATATTACATAAAGAGTAGTTTATAAACTAACAATCTATGAAGTGTTTTTTTTTTTATCTCTTAGGATTAGGATGTGCACGTTTGAGTATTTATTATTCACCTTTATGTTTTACAGTAAAGCTCTAGAATAGATGCAGCGATTTTAGATGTTGTTGGTACAACTGCCAAACTGAACAATACAAAAGACTGAACCACAGTGAATAGTGAGTTTACAGGTAACTGAAAGCCAATTTGTTCACTAAGACAAATATAAATTATCTTGCATTGCAGTATTAAGCATCCCTTCAAACGGTTCATATGATAGTTTAGAAAGGAGCATAACCACTTGTGAACATCCTGTATCACTGCCTTTTTGTATTTAGTCAGCGCACACACACACACACACACACACACACACACCTCCACAAACTATATTCAGTTAATGTCTCAGTAAAAACATGACTGACAGATAAAAATGAAAATAAAAATAAAATTTAATAAAATTTAACCAGAGGAAAAAGTTATTTGTCTTAACACTGCAAAACATTAAGCAAAGGCAACATTTTCACTTCTATATAAAAACATCAAAACAATAAAACACCAGCAACAGCAAGTTCAAAAACGTCTTATTTGCACATTTTTGTTGGGATCAGATTTTCCTTTAAATTGGGAATCTTTGAGGAAACTCTGATTTCACCACGAGAGGATGGTGTTTTCAATCTAAAGGAAACAACTAAGTATGTGTGGACAAAAGATTAAATCTGAGTCAAATTAAATTTAAAACATAATAATCATTCATTATTCTGTGAGTATTTATTATTAACTTTAACAATTAACTAAACAACAACTCTTCTGTATTGTTTAATCAAACATACAGTGGAATTAATTATTTATGATGACATCATATACAAATACAGCAAAACTTATTATTATTTTTATGCAACATAATAATACACAAATGCATTACTATATAACAAATAATAGAGGCTGTGAGCAGAGAACATAGTGACTGAACACATCATGTTTGGAATAATCAGGTAGATTGATTAAACTGATAATATTAGGGATCTAAAATCAATCATAGTTTTATAAAATTTTAGAATTTATGTGATTGAATATTAAATAAAATAATCACATGGGATCATTTGTTCATGGATAATTTATATCATCTACTCCCTCTGGATGCTCTAACTGAAGTTTCTACTGAAGCTCTTCCAGGTATTTATTTATTTGCTCCTTATCCTTCTCTAGTTTCCCTTTCTTTTCTGTCTTTCTAATAATTAGGTTGTGTTCTGTAGTTAGTTATACATACATTTAGCTGACGCTTTTATCCAAAGCGACTTACAATTGCTATATATGTCAGAGGTCGCACGCCTCTGGAACAACTAGAGGTTAAGTGTCTTGCTCAGGGACACAATGGTGGATGGGTCACGGGTCTCTCACACCAAAGGAATGTGTCTTATCCATTACGCCACCACCACCCTCTGTTACAGTGTCTTGTGTTCTCCTGTCTAGATCCTTTATGGTCTTTCTACACTTCTTCATTATTTTGCTTTTGTCCATTTTTGGTTTCATCTCCAGCTTTTCTTGTACTGTATCTGTGTCTTGTCGTCCTTCTGTAGTGAGATGAGTTTCTCTCTTTCAGGTATTTATTTATTTGCTCTTTATCCTTCTCTAGTTTCCCTTTCCTTTCTGTCATTCTAATAATCAGATTGTCTGTTGTCTCCAGTAGTTCCTCTGTGTTCTTTAACAGTTCCTCGTGTTCTGTCGCCCTCTTCTCCAGAAACTCTTTGGTCATTTCACGCTTCTTCTTTTTTTTGTGTTTGTCTGTTTTTGGTTCCGTCGTCAGCTTCTTCTCATATTCTTGTATCTTGATCTTGTCCTCCTGCTGTAGTGAGATGAGTTTCTCTCTCTGGTTCTTCAGATCTTTCTTCTGCTCCGTCAGTGTTGTAATCAACTGTTGCACATGTTCCAACTCTCCCTCATTCTTCTCCAACTCCTCATCAAGTTTTGCCTTTGTCTTGTTCAAATACTTCTTTTGTTCTCCAACTTCAGTCTCACCCTCATGGTGCCACTTGGTATCTATGTGAATAGAAAAGTTGTGTGTTTAGTTTGAAGTTCAAATCTGTTTTGTTTACACTGTGTTCCCTTTGCTGAGCAAACATTTTAAGGTCTTTAAAGCATAGCTACAAAAACCCATTTTTGCTTTGCTTGGCAGAAATATTAAACAATTCATTCTCAAATACATACAGATACTTCGAATTTCGTTGATGTGGCATTTGGGAAGTGCGTATACACAGAATAATACCAAACAAGCTGTACGCTCCATGATTGCAATGGATGATGCTAAGATCACATTGGCCTTCTCGGCACTGTACTCAAAACATAATTAATGTAAAAATAATTGTAAAAGAGATGTGAAAGTAACTTGAGGTTTGAAAAGAAATGTGACTTACTGATTTTGTTTTGTCCCCATTTCCACAAAATAAAGACAACTGCAACAACAGACATGATGCACGCAGCCAAGCAGATGGTGATCCGGAGAGCAAAACTAGACTGGACCATGAAGAGTTCAACTGTAGTTGTAAAACACACAATAGATGTGTTTATAAAACAAAACTTCAACTGTCTGTAACTGACAAAGTGATGACATCAAAAACTCATAAGCCTTTTTTCCTACCTGGAACCTGGATGTGAGTCTCTCTGGTCTGGTTGATGTCCTTCTGTTGGACTCTACAGGTGAAGCTGTTGCTGTGTCTCTTCTCCACAGTCACTCTGCTGCTGACAGTATAGAGGTCATCAGGACCTCTGACTGTCTCTGTAGGTCCAGCAGAGAGGAGGTTTCCCTCACCGTCCAGCCAAAACACCTCAGGCTCTGGATACCAGCCTTTAGATTTACAGTCTAACATCACTCCTTTGCTGACTGTAGAAATGTCTATTTCAGGTGAGGAGACAGAACCTAACAGAGAGCAGAGATGTCAAAAATAGTTTGAATATAAAGTTGCCAAAAGAATAACAATTAGAGCACTTCTTCAATGAACCTAATGAATAAAGTTCAGCTTAGGCCACACTGTTTATTCTCTAATAAAGACATCTCATTTCCCCCCTACTCCTTCTAGTTGGTAGTCGTTATTCTTTTTCATCTGGTCAGTCTAAATGCCTTTCAAATTTATTATATATTTATTATATATTTTATTATAATATATAAATATATAACTAACTATATTATATATAGTTTATTATATATCAATGATATTTGTAAAGTATCTGAAGTACTGAATTTTGTATTATTTGCAGAGTTTCAGAAGATAGCTTACAGCAACTCCTGGAATTAGTCACTTCAGAATTCAAGAAAATAAAACAAAGGTTTGACATAAACACGTTATCAATAAATTTGAGTAAAACTACATTCATGGTATTTGGAAACTGTAAGTAAAATCATCAAGCACAGATACAGACAGAGGGTGTTAACATAGAAAGAGTGCATGAAAATAAATTCCTTGGAGTGATCATAGATGACAAGATTTGCTGGAAGCCTCATATAAAAACACATCAAAAACAAACTGTCCAGAAGTATTGCAGTCCCAGCAAGAGCTAAGCACATTCTGGATCTTAAATCACTTCACATCCTTTACTGTTCACTATTGCTACTTTATTTGAATTACTGTGTAGAGGTTTTGGGAAGCACGCACAAAAAAGATCCATGAGAATCATTCACAATATCGGATTTCGGGATCACACAAATTCATTATTTCTATAGTCTAAATTGCTAAAATACCACAATCTAATTGAATATCTAATTGCAGTATTCATGTTCAAAGCAAGAAATAGCCGATTGCCTGTGAATATAAAAAGTTGTTCTCTGAGAGGGAGGGAGGGTACGATTTAAGGGGAAGGGGAAATTTTAAGACTAATAGGTTTAGAACAACAAGGAAAAGATTATGTTTATCAATTTGCATATTTAAATTGCCGAATAAACTAAATGAGAACCTAAAGCAATGCCCAAACATATTCCTTTTCAAAAAAATGTACAAAGAAATTA